GCACTCTATAGGCCCTAGCCATGCAGTTGCCGTTTGCTGATGATAATATTGTTGTTTGCGAGAAGTGATGCAATTATTAAAGGCCTAAATTGAAGTAATAACGAATTAATTGGTTGTTCTCTACCGGCATGGCTATGCTTTCATCACAAACAACAGCGTCCTCATGATGCACACCGCAGCTATAACAGACTTAAAACAAGTCAGGTGTGTTTAAAAACACAAATGCCCCGCAACCGTGACTATTCCCATGACATAACACCACTCTTTTAACATCAACTTACATGTACCTTGGTCACATGGAACGTTCATTGACAGCATTAGTGTCTTCTGTAGGTTTTATATGAATTAATCCCTTATCCCTATGATCTCAGAATAAATACAAGATTTTTGAAGTTCTTATGTTAAGGATTTCTCAAGTTATCGCGCTGACAAGATTTGTCCGGACACACACATACACACACACACCCAGACTTACGTTACATACCTTATGTGGACATTGCTTTGTTTTCGTGTAAAGAAAACTCGGTACAAAAAATAACTTTACTTAAACTGTGAAAACTCTTTTAACCCATTTTTTTTCTATGATTCCCTCTTGTGTTTCTCTTCATTCTGCTACCGATAAACCTAACCCAAAAATGCCTCTAAACCTGTTTTCCAGAAATGGGGAAACACTGTGTGGACTTGCCCAAGTCCGCACAGTGTCTCCTCTACCTGGTTTATGTGGACATCTTTTGATCGGAAGTCCACACAGTGAATGTAATGCCTGTACACACGCACACCCACGGAAGGCCAAAGCGGAAACAGTATGCCCCTTCGGCTTCGCCGCGGGGCATATAAAACCAAGATTTGCCAAACATGTACTTGCAAAAAACAAAATTCGCCAAACATATACTTCCAAAAAACAAGACTCGGGAAACATATACTTGCAAAAAAACAAGACTCAGGAAACATATACTTCCAAAAAACAAGACTGTTACCAAAAATAGACTTCACAAAAACAAGACTTTGGAAACATATACTTGCAAAAAACAAGACTCGGGAAACATATACTTGCAAAAAACAAGACTCGGGAAATATATACATGCAAAAAACAAGACTCGGGAAACATATACTTGCAAAAAACAAGACTGTTACCAAAACTAAACTTCACAAAAACAAGTATTGGGAAACATATACTTGCAAAAAACAAGATTTGGGAAACATATACTTGCAAAAAACAAGACTCGGGAAACATATACTTGCAAAAAACAAGACTCGGGAATTATATACTTGCAAAAAACAAGACTCGGGAAATATATACTTGCAAAAAACAAGACTGTTACTAAAAAATAGACTTCACAAAAACAAGACTCGCGAAACATACTTGCAAAAAACAAGACTCGGGAAACATATACTTCAAAAAAACAAGACTGTTACTAAAAATAGACTTCACAAAAACTAAACTCGCGAAACATACTTGCAAAAAACAAGACTCGGGAAACATATACTTGCAAAAAACAAGACTCGGGAAACATATACTTGCAAAAAACAAGACTCGGGAAACATATACTTGCAAAAAACAAGATTCGCCAAACATATACATCCAAAAAACAAGACTTGCTAAACATATACATCCAAAAAACAAGATTTGCTAAACATATACATCCGAAAAACAAGATTCCATAAACATATACATCCGAAAAACAAGATTCACCAAACATATACTTGCAAAAGAGCAATTTATACATTCGATGGCACTAACGGGCTTTCGTACAAAAGCATCAAAGTATAGATTATTATGCATAATTATTCATTTACAAAAACATATACATGGATGGATATTTAGTGTTTGATTTCACAGTCTTTTGTTTTGAACGATTCGTTTGACTACCATCTTGGGGAAAAGCTAAAGTATTTCTGTTTTAGTAAGCAACAAAATCTTCCCTTTAAACGATCATCCAAAAGGCTATATTGTTCAACAATACATGTGTATTTACAAAATAAGGACTACATGTAAAGCTTGCACCGCCCACTCCAAGGCCTGAGAATCCATGTTTTTGTTTAAAAAAATGCCAAAGTTAAGGCACTGTCTGGGTCGTGCTTTTGATTGACCTCGTGCAACCGGCTTGGACCGAGTCATGATGTGGGTTGTCAGGACAAGGCCAGCATATAGATGGGTAAGAGCCGCTGTGGAAGATTTGGAAAACCATTCACTATTTTGCACATGCAAAATAGTTATAAAGAAAATATACTCTGGTAATTAATTTTCATGACAGTTCTTGGACAGAACAAGCACATCACTCATTTGCATTTTTTATTGCATAAAAAACCCTTTCAGGAAAATGTAAGCCACTCAGTTCAGTAACTATATAGACGTGTTATTCACTATGTTTTGACATTGTACTGCAGACTCCTTTTGTTGAAAAATGAATGCATATACATGTAATTAAGAACAAAGTATGAGTTTGCATGTGAATAGTGCGGAACTGTTACTTTCAAGGATTAACAAGGAACAGCTTTTTGTCTTTCATCAATCCCAAAATTAGGATCCATTACTGATTACACAGGTCTCGCTTTCAAAAGAAAAAAATGCTTAACTTAATGATTTCTGTTTATCCATCCACCAATTTCTGTGCATGGATCGAACTAAAAGCCATCACCCATTGCCAGCACAGAGCTTCAGGATCGGGAAAAAGGAGCTGCTATTTGCATCTTTTTTTTCTCAAAAATTCGGAAAAGAAGTCTGTTTTGAAAAATTATGAAATAAGTGCATAGGCCTATGCATGATTTCAACAGAAATCAGTATATGGATTGAACTGGACTAACTAATAAAAACTTTTGCCTTGGCTTACTGACGCAACAACTGTTCCAACTATTCACACGCATGCTTGACATGACTACGACGAGAGCAAAGAAATTTTTCACACCAGATAGAATTATCCTGTGTTGACATAAAGAAATACATTCCCAACCAATCCATTCCAATCCATGCACAGCGTAATGCCTGCAGCGATCCTGTGTGCCCTCACACAGCGCGAAGCTTACCACTAAGTTTTAGACACACGTACAAGTGTGCAGTACATTGTACAGTACGCTATTGTATAGCGCGCAATGCATGTAGCAATCACAGCTATATTGAACATGTACCGCTATGGGACATACACTTAGGACTTAGCCATTTTCCCTCCACCTTTCCCCGGAGTCGATGCGAATTCCCCTCACAGTTGGCATTACGAATCCAAAGTCCCTTGAGGAGGCAACAACGGTGGTGGATAACCTCCTGAGCCTCCGTGACACCACAAGCTCGGGAAATCACATCGTGTGAACACCGTACAGGCAGCATCTGAGGCTGATCCCGGGTTCGTCAACCAAAAGCAGTTTAAACAGTTCCAAGACAACCTCGACCGACGGTTAAACGGAATTGTCAAACTGATCAAAGATAAACCCGCCAACAAGCAGAAATCCGCCAAGCCTGCTGAAGCCAAGAAACAGCAGATGGATGTTACTTGTTTCAAATGTGGCAAGCCCGGCCACTTTGCAAACAAGTGCCCCGACATAGCGGCCAAGGAGTTCGTCGTCATACAGACGGAAAACTAACGCGGACCGTGCCGTCCGGCCTGGCACCGGTCCGTCCCAATGAACAGAACACTATCCGAATGGGTAGACAGCAATTTCAAGGCATGTCTGCATTTTTGCGAGTGCAGATATGCGACCAAGACAGCGAACTTTTAGTCGACACCGGAGCGGCAGTGACCAACATTTCTTCAGCACTTTTCAGCCAGATCCCTGCTAAAAAAACGCCCTGAACTCAAACCCCCGTGCAAAAGCACAAAACTAGAAACTGCAAACAAGGAACTCAGTGACATTGACGGTGTTGCCACAATCGACATGATGATTGGTGAACAGCACTTCCAATGGGATGCATTTGTCGCCCCCATCAGCGATTAAGGAATCCTTGGCTATGACTTTCTATACCACTATGATTGCATATTGGGGGCACCAATGGCATACGAATTGCCGATATCAGGGTCCAGTGGACAATCCAAGGGGCCCCTCCCCGTGTAGTTAAGATTGCGCTGAAGCAGAACACCTCAGTTCCAGCATGCAGCGAGTGGGTAGCGGAGAGCATAGCTGATCATCACAAACTGAATTCCATGTATGCAGTTGTTGAACCTGCCAGCCTTCGTCACAACGTTGTGGTTGGCAGATTACTCATGGCAGACACCCCAAATCCTTCTGACAAGTGGTCAGAAAACCTACAGAAACTTTACGAGAGGAGTTGTGAAAACCCACACCAGCAGAAAGCATTGTGTGAACTTTTGGCCAGCCACGAGAACACTTTCGCCAAATCCGCGGAGGATTTGGGAAAAACGTCAATAGTGCAGCACACTATTGACACCGGCGACGCACGCCCCATACGACAGCCTCCCGCCGTCCCCCAAAGACATTTCAGGGCGAGGAGGAGAAAGTTCTCGAAAGCCAACTCAAGGCGGGTGTGATCCGCGAGTCAACATGCCCCTGCACTGTTAGAACGTTGGGCAAAAAAATGCCCAACTTATTGCCCAACGTTGGTTCAATAGTCAACATGTACATCTAATGGGCAATTATTATCCAACGGTCCTTGGGCAATGTCTTTACTAAATAATTAAGCAAACGAATGACCCAAAAGTTGGTCATTTAGTACTTCCCAACTTTCGGTTGGCTTAGTTTGTCCAAGGGTTGGTAATGATAGGTTTCCCATTTATTTGGCAGTAAAAGTTACACAATTGTTGGCTAATCATTTTGGCTAATTTGTTGGGCAAATTTCAGAACGTCTGCTTAATAGTTGGGAACTTGCTATGAAATACTTGGGCAACTGCGTATCCAGTTTATGACCAATTGTTGGTAAATTCTCGTTCACTGCCATGATACGTTGGGCACAAATCTATTGAAAAAGCTCAATAGTTGGGACTGAATCTAACCATAAAATGGGTATTTCCTTTACAACAGTTGGTTCATAAATGACTTCACAAAAAAGTTTTGTTTCTCCCTCTTCTTTTTATTATTTTTATTAACAAATAATTTCTACTCAACAAGGCCTTAAAAACATACAGGTTTTTTTTCAAATTGAAGAAAAAAATATAAGGAACGAATAAGTTGTTTCAAATAAATAACATGTTTTTTTTCTTTTCTGTAAGAAACTTTAAATGTCTTGAGGAGATATGGCAGATGTTACAACATGTCTGTTTGAAAGCGAGTTGTAACATCCACTATTTATCCTCAAGACTTATCCACAAATTCCAAATAAAAAACAGGGAAATCCTATTCGTTTCAGAAAAAAACATTTAAACATCTACATCTTAGGTAAAACCTTAATGGTTTCTCAAATATAGAAAAACAATTGCTTTGAAACAGAAATGCTTTTATTTTTTTTCTGAATTTTGTTTGTTACAAACTCAAGACAACTTCTTGAAGAGAAGTAACAGATGTTACAAAATGATGGTTTAGGAAATTGAGTCGCAGGTTTCTTTTGCAAATAAAAAACAACAAAAAAAAGTAACATGTTTGTTTAAAAAAATGGGAATACTACTATTTCCCCTCAAGACTTTGACATTTTCTCACAATAGAACAGATCCAAGAAAATGAAATTTTCAAACAAAGTTGTAAAATCTTGTAAAGACCAACTGCAATGGGGTCCCACTATAAGGACAATCTCGCCTGGTATCCTAAAAATATAGGAACATACACGCTGTATGCACTGCACGTCTGCTGCAGTGTTTAGAGAACATTTCTGTGTGCAAGGTAAGCCTGCAGGCATCTCAGGCAAACAAGTCGCACTTCTTCTTCAAAAGAAAATATTGAGGACAAGTAGCATATGTTACAACATGTCTTTTGCAAAACAAAGTTGTAACATCTACTACTTATCCTCAAGACTTTTAAAGTTTCTAACAAATTTCAAATAGAAACAGGAAAAGCATAGGGTTTCAAAATCTACATCTTGCAAAGACCTTAATGGCTTCTCAAGTATAGAAAAACAATTTGCCTGGAAACAGAAATGTTTTTTTCTGGAATTTTTTTATAAGAAACTTGAGACACCTTTTTCGATAAGAAGTAGCAGATGTTACAATAACATTGTTTCGAAAATATAATGCAAAATGTACTTCACTCTTTCTAGTAGTAATACTACTACTCCCCTCAAGACTTTGAGAGTTTCTTACAAATAGAACAAATTCAAAAAAACTCATGTCTTAAACAAAGTTGTAAAATCTTGTAAAGACCAACTGCAATGGGGTCCCTCTATAAGGACAAACTCGCCTGGTATCCTTAAAAAATACAGGAACATACATGCTGTATGCACTGCATGTCTGCTGCAGTGTTTAGAGAACATTTTTGTGTGCAAGGTAAGCACATAGGCCTCTCAGGCAAGCATTGTCTCTGGTCTTGACACCTTCTTGTCTGTACACACACTTTTCAAAGAAAGTCCACACCCCCTGGCACTGCTGTTGGTACTCGCAATCCAGTATGTAGTGCGCTTTGTAGCACACATCAACTGCTTTCAGGATAGATGGCTGAGGTATGGCTTGCTTCTCAATGATGACGAAGGCATTTCTGGATTCCAGATGATTCGCACTGCTCAGTGACAGTACAAACGGCTGGGGATGAGTCTTTGGATCAACCTTCTTTAGGTACTGCGGCATGTTGATGATATCCTGCATAATGAAAAAGAAATTAATGGTTTTCTTGCTATCTAATCTTCTTGAAAACATTCGTTCTCAACACTGTTGCAGATGACATTTTAAATTCAAGCTGAGAGCATTCATTTCAAAACCGGAAGAGTGGAAGCCGGACACTTAAAGGGAATGTACAACATTTGCCTTTGTTGTAATATTCAGAAATAAATGGATTGGAAAGAGTATGTTTTTAGCAAATATTGTTGAACTGACTTGTTTCACGTTTTGGGCTTGTGGGGAAAAAAGCACATAAACCCAATCATGTTCCTATAGTCTGGTTCCCTATCCCACTTAAAATTGTAAGGTCAGAGAATCAGCCTAGCAGGCTTGCACCCCTTCACAGGTGTGTAATTAATTGCAAAGAAAATGCGGAATAACTAACGCTGGTGTTTAATTAAGAATACCCAAGAAACGAAGATAGGAAGAAAGTGTTAATTGTTTTTAGAGAAATGTAACATCCACTTACCCGTTGTCTGTCAATGAAAAATCCAACTACATCTTTGATAGTGCTTCTCCCAGCAGCTCTTTTCTTGGAATTCCCCTCAAAGATGACAGGCACGATGATCAAAGCCAAAATGGACTTCTGATCTATGAGAAATGAAGGACAGAAAAATATTTGTAGAGCTAAAAAAAGAATGCACGTCTCCAGCCTTGGATTTGAGTCCAGTTATGGGCTGGCCATGCACTGTGGAAAGATTTTTGGGCTCAGGAGGGTGCACCGGGCAAAATAAACACTTGTTATGATAAGTTGTCTACCTATTATTTCTGTCTGTGAAAGAAATAAACGCCACACCCATAACAGAGGTGAAGCCAAGTGGGGTGCACTGGTTTGCTGGTACCGGTGGTGCTGGCACTTTCAAATATTCAGAGAGAAAAAAGGCAAAATGCTACAGGTGATTGGCAGGGGGTGGGGTCACTGCTGTCTGGACATTTCTTTGAATTTATGATTTTAAACTGGTGACCCTTACCTTTTGTCAATTTGTCCAGGATCATATCTTGTGGTAGCTCCAATGTCTCCTTCCACAAAGGGCACATTCTTGTACCATACTCAATGATAGGGTCGACCATGGCACTCCATCTGTCGTACAGACTGTCAGCTGATAAGGGGTACGCCAAATGATAATCCTGCTCAATCTACAGTGAAAATATGGGAGAAATATACATCAAGATAATTGTGTGTTTTAAAGGTCCTACAAACTTTGTGTGCACTGTCCTCTATATCTACGTTCACGGCAGGCCAGCATTTCCATGTTCTAGTGGATTTATTTGTTTTGTCTGGAAAAACTTGTAGAACTCGACTCAACTTGATGTTTGGTGACTCCAATACTGTTCCATGACTTGGAATATAGGCCTATTACATCTAGTCTGAGTCATCAACAGAAAACATCTTACCATGTTACTGTCCAATAGTCTTGGGAATTCCCGAAGAATCTCGGCCACAGTTCTCTCCTTATTCTTGATCCACTCTCTTCGGTAGCTAGCTGTTACTTCTATGAGCTCCTGTACCTTGTCAGCAGGCTCCACATTATCTTTGAGCCGTTCAATCTTGGACTGGTGATCCTGTGTTGTCTCAGCTGGTTGCTCTGCTTCACCAGTGGCAGCATCTGATGCTAGAATTACAATAGGGACGGGCAGAACAATTAACATTTTGTTTTAATAATCTCTTCACTTCCATTTTGTAATTTGTCACTTTTTTCTATCACACTAGTTCATTTTTGGCATCAGCCAAAATAGTAATTGGAATCATAGTATGGTGTTTTATGATATCTCGCGTGTATTATATTCCCTAAGAAATATTTTTTGAACAAACATTATAATTGATTAACCCTTAGTTTTTAAGGTTCTCGTGTCAAACTGACATTAATGATTAATTGTAAGACAGCACACAGCATCCGAAAATTGTTCAAGGATCAGTGACAGAGAAAACATGCATTGAAGCTAGATCAGAAGATTATGTCAAGGGTCATCAGAGGATGTAGTGTATGCAGACTGCAGTGATCTATTTATAGTGCAACCAGTGTATGACGTCATTTGTTAATCGTCGGTACATTCTAGTACGTGTGTACTCTAGTGTGTTATGGCAGGACATGGAACGTGAATACAATACGAAGCAACCAGAAAAGTATCCCTAATCTCAGTCCCTCCTTAATCGGGTATTATTGACGTACGAACACAACAGTGGCGACGAGGATGAACCTTGAACACACGGGTTACGCACTGGATTATCTACGGACTGTAATTGTGTGAAACGACGGTGAGTTTTTACGGACTTTTTGCAAAGTTTTCTCGACACGTACGGTGATAACTTTTGCACACACGATACGCGGTACACAGTACAACGTACATGTACATCGCCATTGTTCCATGCATGGTTGACGACGCATAGTAACGATACGTTCTACGATAAACAATAATGGCGACTTTTCAGAGAACTGTGTTCGAGGAATTTAACCCAGTGGACGGTGATATTGATACATATTTGGAGAGACTTGATCAGTATTTCATTGCTGTGGACATTGCGGAGACAGAGGCAAACGCTGTCAAACGCAAGGCTATTTTGTTGAGCAGCATTGGTTTCACGGCATATAAGACACTTAAGGACTTGTCTTTTCCGCAACAACCCAAGGAAAAGTCATTCGAGGATTTGTGTAAACTGTTACGGGGACACTACAGACCCAAGAGACTGGCAGTCGCAGAGAGATTTCGATTTCATAATGCTAGACAAATGCCAGGACAATCGATCTGTGAATACGTTGCTCATTTGAAGAAAATGGCTGTATATTGTGACTTTGCGGGGGATCAACTGCAGGAGAGTTTGCGCGATAGATTCATCTGTGGGCTGCAGTCTGAGAGCATCCAAAAGAAACTGCTCGCACGCAACTACAATTTCCAACAAACTCTGGATCTTGCTCTCGCAGAGGAGGCTGCTGCAAAGAATGTGAGAGACATGGGCACCGTGGAGACTAAACCAGTGAATAGGGTGACTTCTCACTACAAGCGTAATCAAAAATGGCAAAAGCCGAGGTCGTCGCAACCAAGGAAGCATTGCGACCGCTGTGGACTGAACAATCACAATCGCGATGATTGCCGATACAAGAGTGCCACATGCTACAAGTGCAAGAAAGTGGGACATTTGCAGTCAGAGTGCAAGTCTGATAGTAAATCAGGCCCTGCACCACCAACCACGAAATACACGCCCCAACAGCGAACCAAGCCCAAAGGACGCGTTCGCTATGTGGGAGACGACGAAAACGCTCGCGAACTTTACGATCCCACTGATGACGCATGTCGCGATGACAGTACATTCGTCGACTCGGTTTTTACGGTTACGACTTCCGATAAGTCAAAAGCGGATACGTCAGGAGACACGACAGCCGATACGTACAGCCGTACTTCAACTATCAAGGTTCCTGTCAAGATCGCGAACATTCCCATACAAATGGAACTTGACACAGGTGCCGCTGCATCAATCATGAGCCAGTCAGACTATCACAAATATTTGGGGCACATTCCAATGCAACCGGTGAATCGTGTCCTACACGCTTACGCGGGTGCCCAATTGCGAATTTTGGGCCAACTGGTTGTCGAGGTTCAGTACGGCGACCAGAAAGCAACGTTACCACTAATCATCGTCCACGCAGACAAGTACGCACCACCCTTGTTGGGCAGGGAGTGGTTGACAGTTCTCAAGCTGGACTGGCCTAATCTGTTTTCTCAGGGTCAATACGGTGTGAAATCTGACCCAATCGCTGAGTTGAAAAGTGAATATAAGGACATTTTTCAACCAGAGTTAGGCACAGTACGTGGAGTTAAGGCAACACTGCACGTCAAGGAAGACGCTATTCCAGTTTTCCACAAGGCTCGCACAGTGCCATTGGCTCTTCGCCCCGCAGTCGAAAAGGAACTCGCCAGAATGGAGCAAGAGACAATCATCTACCCAGTTGATTTCAGCGAGTGGGCGACACCCCTGGTGTGTGTACCCAAAGCAGATGGCACGGTACGCCTGTGTGGGGATTACAAAAATACTGTAAACAAATCAATCCACACCGATCAGTACCCCATACCTACTTCGGAGGAAGTATTCAGCAAGCTAGCCGGTGGGGAGAAATTCTCCAAAATCGACTTGAAATGCGCATATCAGCAAATGTTGCTCGACGACAAATCCCAAGAATACGTCACGATTAACACGCACAAGGGACTGTATCGGTATACACGCTTACCATTCGGTATCTCATCGAGTCCTGCAATTTGGCAGAGATTCATCGAACAAGTACTCGCAGGTCTGGACAGCACATGCGCAATCATGGATGATGTGCTTGTTACAGGCAAGACGGATGAGGAACATCTCCGCAATGTAAAGAACGTTTTCCAGAGATTCCGGAAATACGGTCTTAGGTTGAAGACCGAAAAGTGTCGGTTCATGCAGGAGAGCGTAATCTACATGGGACGCCGAATTTCTTCAAAAGGGATTCAGCCAACCGACGACAAGGTTGACGCGATACGCAACGCTCCAGTTCCACAGAATGTCACAGAGCTTCGCTCATGGTTGGGGATGGTCAACTTCCAAGCGCAGTTCCTTCCCAACCTGTCGACCATGGCCCATCCGTTAAACGAACTGCTCGGGGATTGTCCTTGGCAGTGGACGGATGAATGTACCAGGGCATTTGAGGCAGTGAAGGACGCCATCAGTTCAGACAAACTTCTCGCTCACTACGACCCAGCACTCCCTCTCGAGCTCGCAACGGACGCATCACCATATGGACTTGGAGCAGTCATGCTGCATGTGTACGCTGACGGCTCCAGACATCCTATAGCATATGCTTCACGCTCACTCAATAAACATGAGAAGGGCTACGCGCAACTGGACAAGGAGGCCCTGGCAATCATGTTTGGTCTCAAGCGCTTCCGCACATATCTCTACGGAAGGAAATTTACCATACGGACTGATCACAAGCCATTGGAGCGAATACTTGGTCCCAAAACGTCGATTCCAACCCTTGCAACACAACGTCTTCAGCGATGGGCTGTAATGTTGTCCGCATTTGACTACGACTTGCAGTTCATTCCATCTTCGCAGAATGTGCTCGCGGACGCGCTCTCACGTCTCCCATTACCCACAATGGAGGAGAACGACGAAGACGCTATCTACAACATCGAGGACAAACGCCTCGATAGCCTACCTGTGACCAGTAAGGAGATCTCACACGCTACAAGAACTGATCCTGTGCTTTCGCGCGTGTTAGAGTTCACTAAAAGTGGATGGCCAGCAGAGGTAAGGGACGAACGCCTCAAACCTTTCTTCAATCGCAGACACGAACTATCCACGGAACAGGACTGTTTGTTGTGGGGATTAAGAGTTGTGATACCCTACAAGTACCAAAAGTTCATTCTGGGTGAGTTACATGATGCGCATCCAGGGATTGTCAGGATGAAAGAAATTGCACGAAGCTACGTTTGGTGGCCTAACATCGATCGCGACATCGAACAGACTGTTCGTCTCTGTGCTAGCTGTCAACAGACTAGACACCTTCCAGCTGTGGCACCCCTAATGCCATGGGTGTGGCCTAGCTCTTCGTGGCACAGAATTCACATCGATTTCGCGCAGAAAGATGGTCACGATTTCCTGATCGTCATTGACGCATACGCAAAATGGCCAGAAATCTTCCACATGAGTAGCACCACCGCGAATGCAACCATCACGGTGCTGCGAGACTTATTCAGCAGGTATGGCATCCCCTACCAACTTGTCAGTGACAATGGACCGCAATTCACAAGTGAGGAGTTCCAACGGTTCCTCAAGGTGAATGGCGTAAAACACGTAAGAGTTGCACCGTACCACGCCGCAAGTAATGGTGCAGCAGAACGAATGGTTCAATCCTTCAAACGCGCTCTCAGCTCGAGCAAATCGAGTGGTCGGAGTTTGCAACAACGCATCGACAGTTTCCTGTTGACATATCGCACTACGACACATGCAACAACCGGTCGTACTCCTGCGAGTTTGTTCCTAGGACGCGAACTGCGTACTCGTTTGTCCTTGCTACGCCCGGACGTTGAACGCAAGGTGGTCAACATGCAGAGCAACCAAAAGTTGCACCACGACAAACAGACCTGGTGGCTGGCCACAGTCGCAGAGCGCACAGCCCCAAAGTCTTATGTGGTAATTTTGCAGGATGGTCGAGTGTGGAAAAGACACGTGGATCAGATGAGAAGAGCAGAACGGTCAACAACCAGTCATTCTCAGAACTCAAGGAATGGGATGCACACCTCAGCTCACCAAGATACTGATAGGTCTGACCTAGCATCCATTCCGGTGTTTATCCCTACCGCTGAGACAGCTCCAGTCGTTGGCTCGCAAATTCCTCAGACAGAACGTACACACGCGCCACCCTCAAACGTCACAAATGGTGAGCAAACTTCACAATCGGCGACACCGACCGGAACCGCAGGTTCCAGTGTTTCACCCAAACCCCTACGTCGCTCGTCAAGGGTCAGCAAACCCCCAGACAGACTCATTGAGTCTATGGAATAACCTAACTGTTGTTCGCAGAGGCCTGCATGAGAGTTAAGAGGTGCATGTACGGCACTTTGAGTTGTTACAGTTGTGTTAATGTTTACATGTATCTTGTTACTCAAGTTGTTTAAACAAGTTTTTAGAGTTGCAGTTTTGAAACAAACAAAAAAAGGTTGCAGTTGAAATTGTACGGTATTGGAATGTCATGGGTTAAAAAGGAAAAAAATAAGCAAACAAGAAGGAAATCCTAAGGGAAGTTCAGTTTATTCAAATTAAGGGCAGGAAGAGAAAAAAGCCATTGCTACCTTGTCTAGGGACTTGGATTTAATTATGGAAAAAAGGATTTTCTTTGTTTTTGAACTTTGATTTTCTTGCAACAAGTGTTTGTAGGATTAGCATTTTTTTTATGAGGTGTGACATTGCTTTATAGACAGAATTTTCAGTCGAGGACATTTTCATAGGGTTGAAAATTATATTTTTTGTGTGTACAGCTTCCATATTAAGGGGGGAGAGGATGTAGTGTATGCAGACTGCAGTGATCTATTTATAGTGCAACCAGTGTATGACGTCATTTGTTAATCGTCGGTACATTCTAGTACGTGTGTACTCTAGTGTGTTATGGCAGGACATGGAACGTGAATACAATACGAAGCAACCAGAAAAGTATCCCTAATCTCAGTCCCTCCTTAATCGGGTATTATTGACGTACGAACACAACAGAGGACATATTCCAACCCCTCTCTTTTAAGATGCTGTAGAAGTGTGAGTTAATCCCATTGACTGACCATACAGGAAATTGCTTACTTGATGTACATTCTTGATGTGGCTTTGCCTTTTGTAGCATGTGCTTACGCACATAGCGTAGGTGCTCTTCTAAATATCCAGTTGCTGGACATCCTTTCGCTTCTTTGGTGTAAAATGCTTCCTGCATAACAAGAAAGTAGGTACCAATATAAATATGTCAATATTTAAATGGAGGATTTGCAAACATAAAAAAATCCATTCATCATTTGTCAACCCCGGTCAAAATTACAGATTTAGAAAGAGGTCAATCTCAGCATTACTCCTGACAATCGCATCACAATTATTCTCATTATTATATTCACTCACTATCAAGTTGGGCAATGGGATTTAACACTGACAACTGTTTCATGCAAATAAATTGTTTTGAGCATGTCATATTTTGAACACAATCTGCTTGATATAATGAAAAGGCACTTACGTATCCTGTAGTTCCCTGTGGGTCCTTCAAGCATGGGAAAGCAGTAACTACACTTTCAAACAATGCATTTTTTTCAATTGCACCCGGGCTATATCAAACAAAAAAATTTGCACGATTAGGCTTCTTTAAATTGCAGCAAGCTAAAAGATGACATGACATTAATTCCTCGCTAATAAGGTCACCAATGATAAGTGGAAGATACAGAGCTAAACACTTTGATTGAGCTGATTTTTGACCACTAGAGCCCCATGGATTTGTAATAGCTGATTGTTGTATGGGACTTGGTTTGTTTTTTTTATCTACCGACCCGTAGCTGAACGAAGACAGCCGATTGTTAACTGTGCCAAGGGTAAAACATCCTTTTTTTAATGAGAACTTTCAGGGTAAGTTTCATTTCCAGTGGAATGATGCCCTCCAAAAAGTCATGCATGACATCTACAGCAGAACTTTCACTGACATGGAATCCTGTCAGCTTATTTAATTCGGAGGATCGCCGGATACCTGTCTCTGACACATTATTCACAAGAACATCTGCATCTACACTATCCTTGGTTCGAAGAAGCGCAACATCTTCAACAAGCTGTGTTCTAGTAGTCTCCCTTGGAGCTTTGCAAAATCGACAGGGAAAATTGGCAATGAAGCTTCCAACAAAACCCAGTACCTCATGAAGTCCTAGGTTGTCACCAATTGCTTGAAAAAGGACAGGTCTAACAGATCCCGTGTACTCTTCACATGATATCTCGAGACCTTGTTCTTGCATGTCCTCAAAATCTTTCACAATTGCTGACAGTATTTTGTCGATTCCATACTTTGCAATCTCTGTTCTTTTTCCACATGCAGCCAACAAAATGTTACTGAGTGAAGCTTGGAACTGAAGCGGAAGACACAACAGACTAATATAGAATCCAGCTAGCTTATTTGTGCCTTTTTTTGACCCGAGGGGATTACCTGTTTCATAATCGTCGCAGTACAGCAATATTGGAATGACAATGTTGTTTTGTGCTGAAAATTTAGTTTTGTAGTAACTGCCATCGAGATATGTTCTCAACAGACAATCATCCTCAGAGGGTTGCTGATTCAGGATTGCTGTTATGATTCCTGGTTGCTCCAAGTGTCTTTTTATCGTCTGAGTGATGGGAACGTACTGGAAAGTGTCATTTTTCAGGGTTTGACGAACACCTCCTGATGAGCTATCACCTTGTGAAACGAACGATTGACCCAGAACTTTTTCTTCAGGGCTGACAAGATATCCTTTTTCTCTGAAGTACTTATCCTGGTTGTGCTGAGATCTAAGTTCATTAAATGTTTTTTGTACAAGATCATACTCATCAAACACTTGTCCTAGCTTATTGACATCTTCTTCCGCTAACTGCATATTCCTTCGAACCTCCTGCATTGTAAGCTGAAACCTTTTGTGCATGTGATTAACCACCACTTTGATCAACTCTTAACTTCAAGTATCACTTTCTGAATGCTGGAATAAGGCATACTTGATGCCCTCATGCTTGCTATGAAATATGAAACAGATTCAAAGAGCTCATCTACACCTGTCCACTCATCAATGTCATCATGTGGTTCATCAAACTCATCATTCTGCTCCATTTCAATTTCTGAATCAGATGTTTCCTGTGGCATATTAGGCCTATATGTAGCTGCTGCAGTGTCTGTGTGCTCTGCCAAAATGTGGCGCCTATATGATGACAGATGGTGAAATGTTGCCAGACAACCATCTTGTCTGCAAATAACAATGGTGGAAGTGCCAGAATGCACATCGTGGATATATTTTAAATGGTTGAATAAGTCTTTGATGCCACCACAGATTTCAATCAAAGATTTGTAGCACAGCATTATCCCTGATCACAAGTGCCTTATCACAAATACTACCAACTCACATGATTCTTCCACTTTTCAACAAACTTCACCCGTACACCAACTTTCGGAATAAGTTGCGCTATATCTGCTTCTGTCAGCAATCGAAGGGCCGTCATGTCTATGCCATTATCTGTAAGAAAAAAAAAAGAGCATTAAGTTAGTCGCCGGGTAGTTTTAATAACATGTATGAATAGCTACCCTTTATACAGACTGTTTTGGTTATTTTTTTAAATGTTATTCTTTGTTTGGTTTAGTTTTGTGTATCATTATTTTTCTATAGGGATATTGTTCCCAAATGTTGGAGAATAATCATCCAACAATTTTCTAAGAAAATATGAGCTTAGCCAAATGTTGGGTAGAAGGGAGCATGTATTCCCAATCTTGAGGGACAATAGGACTGGCACCACAATTTATGGGCAGACCCAGGACCTCTTTCCCCGTTATTTGGGCAAAATAGTAATAAAGAATTGGGAGATAAAAGTACAAAATACTCAACATTTTAGAAAAGCAAACAAACATACCCAATTTTTAAGGAGAATGGGAACAAATGCCCAATTGTTGGACATTAGGAGCATGCATATTCCCAATCTTTGGGAAAGAGGGGCCTAAATTACCATGCCTTGCACATTATTAATACTTTAGCTTAGCTCATTATATCCAAATTGATTTATTATCAAAATGTTGGGAATAATATATCACAGGTAATGATTCTTGACTTACGGTGAAGAGAATGATAAGGCTATGGAAAACGATAGACCTGGCATCACTCATGCTTAACGTTAGGCCTATATCGATTATGGACTCAGCTTGCACTTTGCATTAAGAACTGCAACCCTGGGCTAGCTGCACATTAGCAAACATTTGCTTTCAGCATAGAGATTTCAGACAGGCACATGCACACGTAAATTCATGTACCATAAGTTATCTTTATAACAGTAAGACCTATATTCTGATACATGCTGCAAAATTCTCACCTATAAACACGTCCATTAGGGTGCTAACGCCCCACTTCTCCAGCAAGCCTAGTACTTCGTGATCCGCCATTTCGACTCGACTGTGCATGTGCAGTGCAGTAACGTAACGTGGCCGTGCGCGCGCGTGTGCACGCCGTACGTACGTTGCAACGTTGTCCTCTAATGCGCGTGCGCACGGTGATTAAAATCCCAACAACTGGAAACCGTAACCCGATCCATTGCAATCATGCCCATCTGCTGAGATTATTATCCCACTTTCTACCCAACACTTCGTGGTTGGATCAAGCAATGTAATAATGCATATTAATTGGGCAATGTTTATCCAACTAACCTTACTAAAAAAACATCCAACGTTGGTCAATTTTTTTACTTGCCCAACCCCAAAATTTACTAAATTGTTGAACAAAAAATCACCAACAATTTGCAAATGGAGTTTACCCAGTGTTATTTTGCCCAGCATTTTTAACAGTGTGGGCATCACCGATGGTTTTGTAAGGGAAAAGGACGGCACAACACGTCCGTTTGTCGACTATCGTAAGCTGAACGATGTTACGCGGCGTGACGCGTATCCCCTACCCCGTGTTGATGACTGCCTAGATTGCCTGAGTGGGGCAACATTCTTCAGCACCCTCGATCTGCAGTCGGGCTCCTGGCAGATTGAAGTGAAGAAGGAAGACCGTCCCAAAACCGCGTTCGTAACCCGAAGTGGACTGTACGAGTACGTGACCATGACTTTTGGGTTATGCAAAGCACCCAGTACCTTTGAGCGCTGTATGGAGCTAGTCTTCAAAGGTTTGCAATGGCGAACACTGCTGATATATCTAGATGAAATCATCATCCTGTCATCAACATTTTCCGAGCATATTGAGCGTCTTGGTGAAGTCCTACGCCGACTAGGGAACGCTGGACTGAAGCTGAAACCGAGCAAGTGTGAACTCTTCCTGGCGGAAGTTCTGTTCCTCGGTCACATCATCACACCAGATGGTGTCAAACCAGACCCTAGTAAAGTTTCTGCCGTGCAAAACTTGCCCACTCCCAAGAACATAACTGAAGTACGCTCTTTCCTGGGACTATGTTCTTACTACCGTAGGTTCATAGCCCAATTCGCCACGATAGCCGGCCCCTTACATCTTCTGTTAGAAGCCGGATAGACGTTTAAGTGGACTCATGACTGTCAAGCGGCTTTTGAGCAATTAAAGGCCGCCCTCACCGGCAACGAAGTCATGTCATACCCCAATGATTATGGGTTATTCATCATTGATACCGATGCTTCAGATACAGGCAATCGGTGCTACTCTAGTGCAACTCCAGTGGTGTGATCGGACCCAGAGGGAGGAAGAACGGCCGATAGCATATGCTGGTCGTCACCTTCGTCACCTTCCTTCAGTACTTCCGACACTACCTACTGGGCAAACAGTTCCTCATCAGAACTGACCACAGCGCTCTTCGATGGGTCATGTCTTGTCGTGAGCCTGTCGATCAAATTGCAAGATGGCTTCAAATCTTGTCTCAATTCGACTTCAAATCGAACATCGACCAGGGAGGAAACATGGCAACGCAGATGCCCTCTCTAGGGTGCCATGTGACCCTGGCGATCGTCCGTGCTACGACGGAACGACCATATTCGCTGAACTCCCCTGCCGCGGTTGCGAGAAGTCGACGATGTGGCCCCCCTTTCGACCAGACGAGTAAACGCTACCTCCGCTGAAGTTCAATTCCCAAAGAGATATCCCCACGGATATCCCCACGGAAAGTCCTCGTACTGATGGCAACGTTGGTCACCCTCCTACTGGTTCCTGTCTGCAGCATTGGTAAACTTATTTGGCGCTCGTGCAGTGAGTTTACCTGCAGCGACGGACAGTTCAAAGGTCGTTTTTCGCACACTGCCACGCCAACTGGAGAACCCCCGGGCAAACCAATTTGTCCGATGATCCTTTAAGTTCGTTCATGTTATTGCTTAATTGATTACTTGCGCTTAAACGATTGTATTATTTAATATGATTTTTTGTATTTCCTTCAGTTTTCACCTGCACTAGCGGTGCGCGAATAAATCGGGGTAAAGGCATCAAACAGACTTCCAGTCTCGTTTTTTTCCAGCGGGGGTGCATACAGTGACAGTGAAAAAAAATCGTCCATCCAGCAGTTATCCCCGTCATTCCAGAAGCGTCTATCGGCGTAACCCCGTGCCCGTCGCCGTCATCTTCGCCCCGTGAGCCATCATCGTCATCGCCCTCCTTTCGGTTATCGTCATCGTTCCCCCTTGTGCTCGTCGCCGTCATCTCCTCCCTCCGTGAGCCATCGTCGTCATCGCCATCCCTCCATGCAGTCGTTGTGATCGTCCCCGCCCCCTGCAGTTGTAGTCATCTTTATACACGTCGCAGTCACCGCCGACATCTCACCACCATACAACCATGGCGCACTTGAAGACTGCAAGGACTACGGCGAAGAGAGCGGTAACTAGGGAAATCAATCTAATTAATCAGTATATAGGTGAAGACGACACAGTTAATGTTAATGATCATGTTGTCAGGCTGAAGGAATTGTTTAAAAGATTCACATGAACCCATAACGAGTATCATGAAACTCTTACTGAGGACGAAGATATTGATGTAAGCGATACTTACTTCTATGATGAACAGGGTGATTACATTTCGGTTTTGGATTCGGTCAAGAATTACAGTAAACATACAGAAATTATGGTTGAAATTCCTCCTGCCACAGATATTTCTGAAGACTTATCACGTAATGAGTTGTTGCGTTTACTCAATCTGCCAAAAGTAGAATTAGATGTATTTAGCGGTATAACTCGTTGCATTTTCACCAGTTCAAAGAGGCGATCAGGGGCTGTCAGTTAATAGGGGGTGAGACTGGGTATAGTCAGGCTCTTTCAATCCTGGATACCCGTTTTGGTAATGCCCACTTAGTTACAGAACGTTTCGTACGAGAACTAAAATCAGGTAAATCGGTCAGGTCACCCCAGGATATACGACAGATGGCAGATGATATGCAAAATGCATTTCTTGTGCTCAGTCAATTGGAAATGCTGCATGAAGTTAATACTCAATCTGTTATTGTTGAAATCGTTGGTAGATTCCCAAACTATCTTCAGTTGAGATGGAAAAAGCTGGTGTTCAAATCAAAGCGATCCAATGGTTCTTATCCTCTGTTTGAAGAATTGGTTAAATTCGCAGGTATTGTTGCTACTGAAGTGAACGACCCGGTATATGGCACGGGATACCCCAAGCGGCCGGACAGAGCAAAGGTTGAACTGAAAGCTTCATCTACCAGCTTTTCCATGTCAGTATCTGAATCCAGTTCGGGGACCAGTAACCAAGTAGGAAACAAAGGTACTCAAGTTGTCAGGAATGGTTTGTATGCCAAACCTGAACCTCCATGCGTTTTATGTGATCAGAGACATCGTTTATGGCATTGTGAAAGATTCAAACGTATGAGTCCAAAAGAAACATTGAATCTTGTCAATGCTCATAAATTATGTCATAACTGCCTACTTGCATCTCATAGTGTTGACAACTGTGGTAAAAAATCTGTGTGTAAGGTGAATTGTTGTGGTCAAAAACATACCATGTATATTCATGTTGCTGGTAATGCGTCAAATAACGTCCATATATCGAATGTCAGTTTGTTTACCGATAGAGAGACGCATATGCCGATAGTTCAGGTGATAGTAAACAAACGGTGTAAGGCATTTGCTTTGTTGGATAGCGGATCTAGTAATTTGTTTTGTTCCCGCACCTTGGTTAGACAATTGGGGATTACAGGCAAAAGTCAGAATGTCCAACTTAGTACTCTGAATAGGTCTGGAATCCGGAGATCAGAGGTAGTTGATCTGTCGATTTCCTCTGAATTAGGCGACACTTTAGAGTTGTCCCTGGTTTATGTAGTTGATGAAATCCCTGTGAAGAATGCAGCCATTGACAACTCATTGTATGACCATCTCAATGGTATTGGTCCCATGCCTGCTTACGAAAGTGGTAACGTTACAGTAGATTTGTTGTTAGGTCAGGATAATGCGGAGGCCCTTGTTCCATATAATGCGGGGTAACCCGGGACAGCCTTTTGCTGTACGTACCTTACTCGGATGGTGTCTTAATGGCCACTCCCCCATGAATGTACCTAGTCGTAGGGTCATTTCTAACTTTGTAACGAGTTCTACCGTAAGTGACGATGTCTCTTGTTTGTGGGAGATCAAAAATGAAGGATTGGAACAATTGTCATGGTCACAGCAAGATAGGTCGTTTATTGCTTTGTGGGATCGTGAATGTGAATGTAGGAAAGTCGACGGACACTATGAGCTTCCCATCCCTTGGAAAGATAGATCGGAACCTCTCCCGAATAATTTTGTTGTAACCAAATCCAAGGTAGATACCTTGTGTAAAAGACTTGTCAAAGATGGTCTCTACGATAGATATAATGCAGAGGTCGAGAAACTGCTAAATAATGGTTATGCTGAAGAGGTCCCAGAACGTGAGTTGTTCAACATAGATAGAATATGGTATCTCCCTCATCACGCAGTGCAGTCAGACAAGAAACCAGATAAGCTCAGAGTGGTTTTTGATTGTGCCAGTAAGTTCCGAGGTTAATCATTGAACGAACGTTGTTTGCAAGATCCAGATATGATCAATAAACTTTTACCTGTCTTATTACGATTCCGTCAGCACAGCATTGCCGTCCAAGCAGACATTGAGGCCATGTACAATCAGGTTAGGATACCGGTGAAAGACAGAGATGCCCTCGGATTTCTTTGGTACGTTGATGGTCAATTGAATTGCTATCGGATGACGTCGCATCTATTTAGAGGAGTATGGTGTGCGTCGAGCTCAGCGTATGCCCTGCAGCAAACAGTTGTTGATGCCTCAAGTGTAGATCCCCTTGTTAGGTATACGGTATCTAAATTGTTTTACGTTGACGATTGTCTCAGCTCGACCGCTTTCAAGTCTCAGGCCAAAGTCGTTATTACGGAGACCCCTAAGAACCTAAGTAAAGGTGGATTCAACTTGACCAAATTTGTTGTCAATGACAAAGAGCTACTGTCTGAAGTGTCCGTTGAATGTAGGGCTAAGGGAGTTCGTGAACTAGGTTCTCAATCTGAGAGCAGGACCTTGGCTATAAAGTGGATGATTTCGTCTGACGAATTCT